AAGTAAGAAATGTAGAAGCGGGTATAAAATTAAGGTAAGCGACGGGAAGAGAGTGAGTTGTACAAAGATCACATGGCCAATGCACAGCCAATTTGAGTTACTCTCCCTACGCCGTTTGATCCCACTCTGTCCGTCTCCACGGCGATTAACGGACAGCAGAGTTGTCACGGGAACAGCCTAGAGGGGGAGTAACGCGGAGGAGGTACGTCATCTGGACTGAGAGGAGAGAGAAAGCGCGGTAGCAAGAGAGAAAGGGGAAGACCCCAAACCACAGCAGCACATAATTAAAATGGCTCCTCACACACACATTTCAACAAATCCAATAATGAACAGCCTCCCCTCATCTCCACGGAGACACACAGTTCACCAGTTTCTTCAAACTTTTCACTAGCTGATGCTGGCTGTCATCAAAGTGCCAATATCTGAAACAAGTTTATGCTTGTCTGCGTGAGAGTGAGAGAAACTTTATTTTCATCAATATGGATTCCTGAAGGCCAATGAAGACACACAGGTGCTGAAGGTGTCAATAGCGAATACGGATATTCAATGTATTCAAATTTAATCATCCCCGTGGCGAGCAAAATTATTCATCAAAATTAAAAATTTGATGAAGTATTTCCCCCAGAATTTAGTTCTCGTCACAGTGGAAAAGCCTCTGTAACAGCATTCACACCGAAACGAAAACTCTCCAGTGAAGCCTAGAATAATGACAGACTCCTCTATGAATAATAACAAACTCCACCACCCTCATAAAACTTTGAATTCAAAGTATTTTAATATAAACGGTGGATTAGAGTGCAATGTCAATGAACTACTTTTTCATCAAATTTTAATATTTCAATTCAATCTAAATACAGACCAATTTTAACAAAAGCATTAGGTGTTATATTCTTTACCATCAGAGTAAATAAAAGAAGAATTGGTGTTCACCTGAACAACAGACTGGACTGGACTCATAACTCAGACGCCCTCTACAGGAAAGGGCAGAGCAGGCTGTACCTG